CTGTGTCCCTACCACCTGAAAACACAATGGGTGTATGCATAGTTACTATGCCTTACAAGAGTCCAGGTCATGTTTACTTGTTAGGATTCCTTTACTTAATGAAGATATTTATGTGCATAGGAGGTTCTTGATTTTAGACAAGTTTAGATCATTAAAATGAGTTGTATGCCTGTGGAAGCTTAGTATTTTCTTTGGACACCATTAAGATGTCTTAGGTCTGTGGGAGTGAGATGCATCGCTGTGGAAAGACATTTAAAGGTCTTTTTCTTTTGAACAACAAAACCTATATGTATTCACCTAGGAACTCGAGTTGATTCTGTAGGAGGTAGTATCAGTAAATTGAAAGAATAGTTCAATTGTTGAGCTATTAGTTATAGCTATTGTAACTCTGAACCATAGTTACCAGAAACTGGGGAGCCTCACTTGCTGTGTCATGTGTTACTGGGACAGTTGGGGTCCTCTCTCAGGATTTATAGTCATATAGAATAAAGATCTTATCAAGCTGTTCTGAAGCCTGTAGCTTTATGATTAATATGCTTGTAGTTTCAGAAGTGATATACTCTCTAATTATCAGCATTCATTTACTGGGAACAAATTGAGTGTGAATTAGCTGATTATTCGAGACACTTCAGTTACTGCTTTCCCGAAGCCTTGTTCCAGGACTTTACTAAAGAGGAATGAGTTGCTTGTGCTTCTTGCTCCTGGGCGGTTGCTGTCTCATGAAACTGGCAGTTAGAGGATGCTTAGTGCAATGCAGGCAGTAAAGATTCTGTGGCAGGTCACATGGGCCATGACTTTGGTATGGTGTTTTTAAAGAGTGATGTGAATCTGACAGTACTACCTGTTCATACATTTCATTTTACATTGAACTGTATTTTTTTCAGTTAATGAAACACTGAAAAAATGTCTTGTGTCTATATTTGCTGTTAGTCACATATCTAACTTCATATATGATATTTATTAAGAAAGAATGCAACCTATTAATAATAGCTTTTCTTGGGAAATATAATTATATGTTCATTAATGGTGCTTAACTTTTTTTTTTCTCCACAGTTCCATCACCCAACCTCTATAGCCAGTTAAATGCTCTACAGTTTACTGTAGATGAAAGAAGCATTCTATGGTTAAATCAGTTTCTACTAGATTTAAAGCAGAGTCTTAATCAGTTCATGGCTGTGTACAAGCTGAATGACAATTCAAAATCTGATGAGCACGTTGATATTCGAGTTGATGGCTTAATGCTAAAGGTATTGTATAAACAGTGGCTGCAAGAACAAAGCTTTTTTTCCCTGTGTGTGTGTGTGTGTGTGTGTGTGTGTGTGAGAGAGAGAGAGAGAGAGAGAGAGAGAGAGAGAAACAGAGACAGAGAAACAGAGAGACACAGACAGACAGACAGACAGACAGGGTTGGCTTTCTTGGTACAGACAGAAGACAGACAGACTCTCACTATGTAGCTTTGGCTGTCCTGAAATTCATTAAGTAAACCAGGCTGGCCTGGAACTCAAACAGATCCATCAGCCTGCCTCTGCCTCTTAAGTGCTGGAGTTGAAGGCATGTGCCATTACATCCACCTGAGAGCAAAGCTGTTTTTATAGAAAAAAAAAATGACAGTGTTATAATACCAAGGATATAACATGGTGTTCAGATATGAATAAAGTTAATTATAATCTTAATTTTTATGTTGAAATTTAAGATTGGATTTTGACTCAGAGAAAACCTGAAAGACTGCCTTTTCCCCATTTGTATATTTATGATTTTAATTTTTCTCTAACTTCTGTTCATTTGGATAGAGCAGTAAAATGTAAATGTTTAGTGGGATGGCTCAACAGATAAAGGGGCTTGTAGCCAAGCCGTGTCACGTGAGCTCAATCTCTGGGCCCCACATATGGAAGGAAAATTGACTCCTGCGAGTTGTCCTCCGGCTCCCTCACACTCCCTGTGACACTAAATCCAAATAAGTAATAAATAAATAATAAATGTTACAAAAAAGGTCTTTAAAAATCTTTAGTTCCTTTAGTCTACAGGGTTTATATTTTTTTCTTCTAAAAGAGGTTAAATATGCAATAGAATTTTCAAATTGTTTGGGTTGTATTTGTTCATATTATTCCCTTTATTCATATCCAAAGTTCAAACAAAAATGACTTTTTATTGTAGATGAGTAACTTCTAGTCTGAGCTGTGTACACTCTTAGGTTTTTAAAAGGAAAAGATTAAAAGTTTAATTAATAAAGTCCTGAACATAATTGAAAATTTATTGCAAGTTCTGTTGTTGATGGATTATGTACTATAGCCTCTTTTAAAAAATTGTACAAATAGTATTCCACATTTCCTGTCATAAATAAAACATAAAGGGACATGTTCTATGACTGTGTTTTAGACAGAACTAAATAATGATCATTTTATTTTCTGGGACTAACAGTACCCAGAAACCACTTTGACTCTTTGATATGAACTCTCCCAGACTAGATTTAGTTCACCCTTGGGAGTTATCTCCGTAGGTTTGACCCATTGTCTAGCTTTGCTCTCTTGACAGATCCCCTCTCTTCCTCTTGGATGCTGGATTGCAGGTGTGTGCTCTCGCACCCAGCCCAGGCAACAGGATCCGATGCCATCCACCTGTCTAATCACTGTCATTTGTCTAGTTCATTTTCTAAAACACTTGGATTTAAAATCTTAACAAAAATATCAATATCATTTCTCGGATTTAGTTTTATTCTGTGTACTCCTTAAATAGTAAGTTTTGAAAAATGTGTCTGTAGTTCCAGGACAGGCTCCAAAGCTACAGAGAAATTCTGTCTCGAGAAAGAAAAAAAAAATCCATAATTCTGAGCATTTTTAAAACAGTGTGATGTCTTGTAAGATGTATGTCCTCTTCTTTAGTGGCTAATTCCTTAACTGAAGTTACTAGAAGATTCGACAGAGGGATAAGTTGTGATTTATATCCGTAGAGGAAAGAAGTATGTCTGGGAAAGTATCAATAACAACAATTCCAAGTCTTTCTCGTATTTTACCCAGATGTAGAGATTTGTAAATTGAACAAGATTGTTTTCCCTTCCAGTTTGTCATTCCTTCTGAAATGAAAGCAGGCTGCCATCAAGATCAGCCCCACACAGTATCTATCCAGAGTTCAGAAATGACCGCCACCAACACAAGGCACTGCCCGAACTGCCGGCACTCGGATCTAGAGGCTTTGTTTCAAGACTTCAAAGACTGTGACTTTTTTAGCAAAACTTACACTAGATTCCCTAAGTCCTGTGACAGTTTTAATCTTCTACATCCGATCTTCCAGAGGCACGCTCATGAGCAAGATACCAAAATGCATGAAGTTTATAAAGGGAATATTATTCCCCAGTTGAATAAAAACACTCTTAAGATGTCTGCCGCCACCGATGTGTGGGCGGTGTACTTTTCCCAGTTTTGGGTAGACTATGAAGGGATGAAAAGTGGAAAGGGACGGCCGATAAGCTTTGTAGACTCTTTCCCTTTGTCTGTCTGGATTTGTCAACCAACGAGATATGCAGAATTACAGAAAGAACTCCAGACTTGTGATCAAGTGTCTCTTAATACCTCCCAAAGTGAATCCAGTGATCTGGCTGGCCGGGTGAAGCGGAAGAGACTGTTGAAGGAGTACTACAGTACGGAGTCCGAGCCTTTGTCAAATGGTGGCCAGAGACCTGCGTCAGAAACATTTTTACGGGTTTCGTCTTCGGATGCGGATGTTCACGTCCTGGTTCGTGTCCATAAACACATCAGCATGCAGATCAACCACTACCAGTACCTGCTGCTGCTCTTCCTACACGAGTCACTCATTTTGCTTTCGGATGCCCTGCGGAAGGATGTGGAAGCTGTAACTGGCAGCCCTGCTTCTCAGACTTCCATTTGCATTGGGGTTTTGCTTAGGAGTGCGGAGCTGGCCCTGCTGCTGCATCCCGTGGACCATGCTGGCTCTCCGGCTTCTGAAAGCGTGAGCCCGCTGCTTCCTGACTACCCGCCCTCAGAAAATGGGAGCGTTCTGTCTTCCAAGAGAAAACATGGTGGTAGTGGTATGCATCGAATTAGAAATGCAACTCTCAATCACATGTCAGACAACAGATCGATGAGCGTTGACCTTAGCCATGTCCCTTTAAAGGATCCTTTGCTTTTTAAATCAGCCAGTGACACAAATCTGCAAAAGGGCACTTCTTTTCTGGACTATTTATCAGATAAACATTTAGGGAAAATCAGTGAAGATGAGAGTAGTGGGCTTGGTTACAAGAGTGGCTCAGGAGAAATGATGTCAGAAGTGAGTCACAGAAAGGATGGGTCTTGCACCGATGTGGACAGCGTCTTGAACTGCAGAGATGATGCAGACAGGTTTTCTCTAAGTGACGGCGGCAACCCAAACACACCTTCAAATGCTTTAGCTGGTAAAGGAAGTGGAACCGTAGAGTCAATCTTCAGAGCTGAAGATTTCCTTCCTGAGGCGGCTTCAGTTCCCGAGAACTCGGAGGAGAGTAAAGAAGAGGTCCCCATAGCCAGAGCACTTAAATCCCAGCCATCTTTAAGGTAGTGCTACTGTTGGGATGTAAATGGTTTTAGTTTTGTTGTTGTTGTTTCTATGGCTTGTTTGTTTCTTTCGTTTGGGAGTGGAAAACCTCGTGACAAATGTGGCTTTAAAAGAGTTCATTTCCCGAATCTGAGGAAGCCTTCCAGCTTCTGCTTTTTGGTGTCCTTTTGGGTACTGTGTGGTATGCTAACTTTACTGCAAATTGTCTTCCATGATGGCCCGCACCTTTGTGTCCTGGCAGAGTAGTCTGGTGCTCCTTTAGCCTTTGCTTCCCCAGCCCTAGAATTACAGAGGGCACTCGCTCCCCCTACAGCTACTGAGCTTCTTTGCTCTACCTACAGTACTCTCCTATTAATTTTGTTTGCCAACAGTACAAAACCCAAGGAACGCTGCCCCCACACCCCAGCCCCACTCTGTGTTTCCTACAAGAATATGAAAAGGAGCGCCTCCCAGGTCTCCCTGGATGCTATCTCCCTGGACAGCACGGCCTTGGAAGAGCAGCTGGAGAGCGACGGCAGTGATAGCCACGTGTTGTTGGGGAAAGGTAAGGAGGATGAGCGCTCTTCTGGCAGTGCTGCCTGAGTCCTTACAGCGATGCCCAGGGCTTGCTAATCACACCAGGCAGACAGACAGAACAACTTAGTTTCTGTACATCCTGTCCTGTGTTCCTAGAGCGTGACTTCTTAGTGGCTGTTCTGATAAGCCTCCTCACATCTGCTTTTGTTCATTTGCAGGTTGTTGTTTGTTTTTTGTTTTGTTTTCTTTTCACTCCATTAACAGATTGCTCCCCAAATATAAATTTGATCATGTTATTTTCCAACTTAATCTCAGGAACTTTTCATGCTTTAAGGCTGTGAAATTTAGAATCCTTAATCCTTTTTGAAAATATTCTTTATAATTTGACCTCAGTTTTTCTACATGACTGTTTCTGTTTTCTTTCTTTACATTTATCTATCTATGGGAGTGTGTGCGCAGGGTAGCACACGTGTTCTGGGAGTGTGTAGGCAAGGTAACACACATGTTCCATCTGTGGGAGTGTGTAGGCAGGGTAGCACGCATGTTCC